AAACCAATCGCGGTGGTGCGGAAAGGCGTCCTACGAGAGGTGTTTGAGCCAAAGACGCGAGGGTATTCATGTACGGTGGAAGTTTGACCAGAACCCATACAGAACGGCTCTCAATACAGTTTGATTCCAGACTATTTAGGTACAAAGCTACTGGAGGCCCATTGTTCAAGAGGAAAACTACTGTACTCAAAGAATCGGGCAGATAACGGGAGACGAACACATCTACCGATCGGGTAGCAGGCTGCTCACCGCGTTATAGCCCAGGAATGTTCCCGAGGGGCAGTCGAACCCGTTCGCGCTGAAACTGATGTTTTCCATGCTTTCAACGGTGCCGATGTTGGATACGGCTGCCCCTCCTTCGTCATCAGAGAAGTTCTCCACGAACGAGCAACTGTTGATGGAAGCCGTACCCGCCAGTCTTAACGCCCCCCCCGTCCTCGCCGCGTTGTCCTCGAAGGTGGTGTCGACAAAGTAGTCGTGCCCGGCCGCGCTATCGATCGCCCCGCCGGTCGCTGTCGCCCGGTTGCCGACGAACAAACACCGCTCGAAGGTTGTCGGGTTTGGCGGCTCGAAGTCGGCGACGCCTTTCGAGTTTCCGGAACCGAACACGGCCACCGCACCTCCTACCTGAGCCGAGTTAGACGTGAAGGTGGCGTTGGCGAACGCAGGGCCGGCACCAGCGGCAGACACGAATACGGCTCCTCCCGCGACTGCGGCAGCGTTCTCTGTGAAGCGGACGCTCGCCGCCGGGTCCACGACCAAATCACACGCCCCGAGAAGATTCACGGCACCCCCGTTCCCTCCGCACGCATTGTTGAAGAAGGACGTGGTCCCGTTGATCTGAATGGCGGAGTCTTCTGGGTTAAGTTCGTCGTCGAACTCAGGGGATACAATAGCACCACCGTCGAGGAAGGCTTGATTCGATGTGAAATTGGTATCGCCGGTCCAGCTCGCGGTAGATCCGTCCCGAAGGAAAATGGCGCCTCCGCTCAACGCGGTGTTGTTGACGAACTCCGTCTCTCCAGTCCAAGACACTTCAGACTCGTCGAGGCACACACCACCAAAGAAGCGAGCGGAATTCCCAAGGAACCTCATCGATCCGCTCCACGACCCAACGGATGTATCCATGTTAATCGCACTGCCGTACGCTGCCTCGTTGCCGATGAACTGTGTCATTCCTCCGCCCCAAACCGCATTGGAGCCATTCAACAAGCGCACGCCACCGCCTCCGGCAACGTTGAATTCGCTGTCCGGGTCTTCGGCCCAGTTGTACGATATCGTGGTGTTTCCGTCCCAGGAGGCCGTCGAGTTAAACAACAAGATGCCCCCCCCGTAGAGTACGGCCGAATTGTAGCAAATATCCGTCTCCCCAACCCACGAAGCAGTGGAGGCAGCCAAGTAGACCGCCCCACCAGTTCCAGTCAAGTTGAAATCCGGGTCACCAATGGCGTGGTTGTCCTCGAAGTACGATTTGCCGCCAAACGACAAGGTAGACAGGATAGCGTGAAGACCACCACCGTTGAGAGCTGAATTGCCGGAAAACGTGCTGGTCGCGTCACCTTCGCAAGATAGAGTGCTCCCGAGTATCGCCACAGCTCCTCCCGAATTAGCGGCTTGGTTTCCGTCGAACACGGTTTCGTCCGCGCCGCTCCATGATACATCGGACAACGACGACACGTAGAGAGCACCGCCGGAATCAGAAGCGTTGTTTTCCGCCAGCACCGCCTCCCCGCTCCATGAAACGCTAGACAACGCCATCCACATGGCGCCTCCGAAATTGGCCGTGTTGGCGATGAACCGTACGGTCCCGTCCCATGTGACACTGCTGCCGTCAAACACGTGGATAGCGCCGCCAAGGCCGGTTTGGTTTGCCGACATTTCTGGATCACCGAATGCTTCGTTGCCCTCGAACAAGGAGGTACCACCAAAGGACGCGATGGACCCGTTATCGACCACCAGGGCGCCCCCGTTCGGAGCTGAGTTTCCGGACAACACGGTGGTCGTCTCCCAGGTACAGTAGGCATGAGCGTTCGTGGATACGGAAAAGGCCCCTCCTTCCCCGCCTGCTTGATTTCCGTCGAACACGGTGGTGGTCTCCCCACTCCACGAAGCGTTTGAATCGTCGCGAACGAACACGGCACCCCCAATGAGCCCAGCACTGTTCGAGTAGAACCCCGTTTGGGCGCTCCACGTCAAGTTGCAGGTGGTGCTGGCGCTTAACGCGCCGCCGGCCACCGCGGCGCTGTTGTAGTAGAAGTCTGTGGAGGCGTCCCACGATACGCTGGAGGAGTTTATCAGGCTCAGGGCACCACCAAACGTTCCAGCGGTGTTTCCGGCGAAGACGGCGCCCTCGCTCCACGACGCGCTCGATTGGTGCTGCACCCTCATCGCGCCACCGCGGATGGCAGCCGTGTTGCTAAACCACCAACCGCCGCATGAGACCGCCGAACCTTCCGTCACGTACATGGCGCCGCCGTCGATTCCTGCCTCGTTTTCGGTGAAGGTAGTCCCATCAGCGCACGACACAAGAGATCCGTCCGACACGAACACGGCTCCGCCGTTACCCGAAGCGACGTTCCCGATGAAGTTTGTTTGATTGAACGTTAAGGTGGACCCCCCGGCGGCGATCGCTCCTCCGGAGATGCTAGCGCCATGGCTGATGTTGATTCCGCTCAAGTGCAGGGCAGCGTTGACGACGGTAAACAGCCTCGTTGCGGAATTCCCATCCAAAGCGGCGTTCGAGCCTGCAGCCCCAGTTATCGTTAGAACCGTCCCATCGGCGACGAAGATCGTCTCGTTGACGACGACATTTCCTACCCATTCCACCTCAAACGACCCCCCGGAGCAGTTGACGGCTAACGCCAGCGCCAGCGCCTGCTCAGAGTCGCCCACCACCCAGTTCCACTCCGAGTCAGCGGGGCAAGGCGTGGTGGTGATCGGCGGTGCCTCGCACCCGTACAACTCTTCGGGAGCGCTAGGATCAACGCAGTCGAGCTCGCCACCGATGCAGGAAGAACCGGTGCAGCTACACAAACAGCACTTAGTGGTTAGTACAGGTGCCAATACGAAGAGGGCATGGACGAAGGGAGGGAACGGCGGGGAGAAACGGGAGGGAGGAAAGGAGAGCTCGTCAGCCACAGCGGCATCTTACCGGACCTAGCTGAAGATGGAGTACCTCGTAGGTCGCCCGCTGCTTGTGAAGAGTGAGCATCTATTATACCAGGGCAGGGTTCCCCATGTGGCCATAGCGGATACACGAACGGTCTACCGTGTTTGCCTTCTGCCGCCGCAAGATAAAACGATTTCTGGCGTTTCGTGTGTTGGAGAGCACCACCTTCAGAAACGAACATCTATTCACGCACTTCATGACAAGCTCACATCGCCCCCGTCGTATCCACATGAAGCGATGTTGTTCTCAGGGTTGCACGCCCCGTCGCCAATCTTGAACCAGTCCCCCGTACAATCGGGGAACTCGGCGACAAGCGCTGGGTCATAGCAAGCCGGGTCGTGACAGTCGAAGATCGAAAAGCTCCCACATTCGAATAGTGGTCCATCGACACAGGAGCACTCGCAGCACTAGCAAGGAGGGAGGGTGGGGCGAGGGTGTGTGTGAAGAGGAATTAGAGAGGAAAGGGGGGGGGTTCGTCGATGAGGGTGGTACCCGAAATACGTGGACAACAAACGTAGGGTGGGTGGGCAATGGGAAAGGGGAGAAGGGGGAGGGCGTCGGCAAAGAGGTCGTCGCACCAGACCAGAGGAGACGAGGCATACTCTAGCTCGTAAGCTACTCGCAAGCGTTGTGGACCGTTGCGGGAACCGGAAACGTGTCTATGTTGGTTTTCAGCAGCCGCGAAAGACACGTTAGATCATGTCGCGTTGTAGTGCATGTCATCGATTCGTGCGCATCAATGCACGACCCAGTTTCATAGGTGAAGTGAAAGAAATCTAAGACCCGCTCACATCGCCCCCATCGTATCCGCACGTAGCGCTGTTGTTCTCCTCGTTGCACATCCCGTCGCCTTGCACATCCTCATCGCAGACCGCATCCAAAGAGGTAACTGCTGAGTCGCCACAATCCGGGTACACGCAGTCGAAGTCACTGTCGGCGCAGAGGTGGAGAGGACCGTCGTTGCATGTGCACGAGCAGCAATCGCCCCCGTCGTAGCCGCACGAAGCGACGTTGAGGGCTGCCTCACAGTTCCCGTTGCCGATGTCGGTGACGTTTCCGCCGGTGCAGCTGTCGTACTGGGCAACGCCACTACGAAGGAGGCAAAGTATGGTGAGCGCCGAAGCAGCAAAGCTAATAGTAGGGCTGCTGAGTCGCCTCATACTTTCTCACGCCCCCCAACTTCTTTCTGGTGACGTCACCACCACAATTTCTCGGTACGGCACCCTGACGCAAACGCAACGATCGGACATCGTACGGAGTTCTCGGTTGCCGCGGTGTGATAGTACCAGACGCCCAGCTGGTGGGGGTGGGGCGGTGTCGTTGCCTTCAGGCGAACGACCTGCAAGTCGACCGACGTCAGGGTTTTGGAGCTTTGTCCGTGTTGTTTACACTCTACATACAAGAGCTTTTGGTTTTCAGTCATTCCCTGCCTTTTCGTTCTTCCGTTACCTAGTTTGTTTCTCCCAAGTCAACGTTACACCCACCGACATTTCAACCGTCCTCTTTTGTCCATGTTTGACCCACGATTGTACGAAATGCACACACTGTAAAGTCATGTTACGGTCGGGGGGGGCTGTTTTGGGGTGAAATCTTGCGTTTTTGGCAGCAATTGTTTAGTCCTGTTCCGGCGACCTTACGGCGGTGTAGTGTATGGAGGAAAAAGGAAATAAAAGGGAAGGGGGCAGATTCGCTGCTCCTTGCTGGTTCATTCACAGCTGTTGTTGGATTTCATGTTTTATCTTCTTCATACCTAGCCCGCGTTCCGCGATCACAAGTCGAGAGTGAGGACGGGGAGCTATAATCTTAGTCACAGTAACCAACGAAAATACACAACATCCATGTCATGATGTCATGATCATTCAAGGCTCATACACTAGTTGCTCCATTACATCAGCCCACCCTGGGAAGTCGTATATGCAGATACTCTATCCCCAACCATACTCAGATTTAGATAAGAGATCGAAGATGCGACTTTCCATATGAAACACAAAAAAAAAAAGCAACGAGTGTCGGAGAAAATAGTTGTCCCCGACAAGTGCTTCAAACCATCAAACCTTCCCCACACCACACATGTGATGACGACTGAGAATCACAACGCAGACGACAAGGTTCCAGGGGGAACTGATCGCGGCGGGTCCGGTCGTAGCAAATGTGGAGACGACAACGCCTATTTCTGCGCTAAAATAAACCAGCTCACACCACTCAAACACGCGCCAGCGTAACATAGCGTACCATAAACGAGACAAAGCGCCAAATATCAGTAGAGAGGTAAACCAACGCCATGATTTGAAGGCGGCAAAGCAAGCAAAGCACAAAAAATATATTGAATCGTCCCGTGAATCAACGACTTGAAACAACAGAAAGGCGTTGAAAGTCGCCTAAAGTCCGGCCCATCGTTTCCCATCAGAAAACAGCGGCTAGCAGAGAAGTTTGTTCGTCAGCCGCTCTTCGCCTTCGTCTTGCACGTCCTCAGCTTCGGCCACGTCAACCGCGAAAATGCGGATGTTCCTGCCATTCGCAAAATGTTCGCGCACTCGGACGAGGACTTCGGAGAAGAAGAGAGCAGAAAGGCAAGTACGTGACCGGCAACGGTCTAAAAAGTAATCGGCGCTCACGCATTACCCGGCCCATTAGGGAGGGTCAGAGTGAGCGTAGGCCATCGATACGTTTGCGTGGAAGTCTTACGTGCGGGCTCAGCAAATTGCACGTTGCCGAGTCCATCAACGGACAGACACATGCACTTCAATCCACCAGAAAAGAACGCTCCAACATACAGAAAGTCCAAGCGGTGTTCAGGTGGAAAGACGTGGTAGCGTGGCATGCTCGCAGAATCCAAGGCCACAACAACATGGGCACGTATTTCCACGGAGTCTTCGAATATGTTTCAGGCAAAACCGTCGGGGATCCCAAACATCGAAAATGTATATGCCGCCACACACTCGTTTTCCGACAGCTGTTAGTTCTCGGACATAGTGTTCGAGCGAAACGAATATATTGGCAGCCGCAGTGGTACCAACGGTGGACGAGAGACACACGTCTGGCTCCTCAGAAGGGAGAGCCGGAGGAGGTCTAACAACCATTGGTCCACTAAGGTTGAACTTTTGAACGGGAGAACACAAAAAGACGCGATATTCCGCCAGACCAACATTGGGGGGCGGACTCAGACGTCAGCATTGCCACGTTGGGTCCATAATGACGGAAGTACCGTATTACATACTCCTTGGAATGGATGAGCCCACCCAAGCCAATGCTCTTCATCAAGAAGAGTGGTTTCATAGCTCCGTGGAAGCGGTAAGCCCGCCCAAGCCGATGTTCTGCATTAATACAGCAAAACTATTCATACCTATGTATCATCCATCACACACAATGGTGGTGTTTCCATGTCCATCAGCGCCGTTTTCCACCAGCAACGGTGGTGAAGCGGCGGTGGCGTGAAAAGCGGGAGACGTCATGTGCAGCATCGGCGTGAGCGGTCCGCCGGTGTGTTCGCAAGCGAAATCCAGCGGACCACATGCGTCCGAGGATGAAGGATCATCCGCCAAAGATCCATCACCCGGTGGCATGATTAATTTCATGAATGATTGTGCACACGGGGGATGGTATCCCCTAGTGCGTCGGTCGCAAAGTCTTCTCGGGTCCGACCTGACGCACACGCAAGAGCGTGCGCGTCGCAACAAGAACTTTGCCCAAAAAATTCTGACCACATAACCTAAAAGGCGGCGCAGGACGCGGGTCGAGGGCATCGACACCAATGCCCCATAACGTGTCGAAGGAACGAGCCTCCGCAATCTGTGTGACCCCCGTAGCCAAGAAAACTTAAACTTTGCGCGCGTCAGCAGTTGGGGTGAATTTTGCATACAACAGCAAAGAGACAGCATCCTCACGTCTGAGCTCCCATGAAACGTGGTCAAAAACCCCGCGCCTTCCGTCCAAGAGAGACTGTGATGGCTTTGGTCCGAGTTAGCCATGTTTTTGCATATGCGGAGTCATCGCCGAAAAATGCGAGCTGATTCCACAACCATGAACTATATTCCGCACACATAGCGGATACCGTGGACAAAAAGGACGGCGGTTTCCAAAAGAGGAAAACCTCATCGTTGTAATATTCCTGACTACCATCGAAAACAGGGGCCTGCCGCGCCGGTGCGCTTACCTTCCCCGAAGAAATGTTAACAAGGGAAATGGCACCGGCAACCGGCAAGACAATCTGGGTGCCACCCGAAGGCGGGCCGGACTGTGAGTTACGAGGAGAGGCAGGCAAAAGCGGTGAACCAGCCGCAGAAGCGTGCGAAACCAAGTGGTCTACGCGGGCGTTTTCGCGCAAAACGTCGGCGTAGGCCTGTTCATTGAAAGCGGCCTTCTTCGCGGGCGCTCGACCAACATGGCCAGCGGCCGCTGGAGACTCGGGACCGCTATTTCGTGACAAAGAACATGAACCTTTCGATTTGGGAAAGCCGTTACCTGCGCTCGGCAACGGCGGTGCAGTCAGCACCGTGCGACGTTGATGCTCCGTAGAGGAACTTCGCGAAGGGTCTGGAGGGGACGCAGTGGGAACAAGCGTACTCGAGCCACCGCGACGGGCTTGAGGCTGTCCCGAAGATCCCTGAGCTCCGACGAGGTTGACTAGACCACTCGGAGCCGCCGAAACGGTGGGAGGCGCGGAAGCCATGCCTCCAGAGGACATCGGGGCGAGCGTCTATGAGGCACCCGACGTCTTATCGTTCCCGCGCCCACACCACAAGGCTGTAGTCGGCACCGACAAGTCACGACGGTCGCCCAAAAAAGTTGTGATGAAGCGCGGGGCGATATGTATCNAACGGCGGTGCAGTCAGCACCGTGCGACGTTGATGCTCCGTAGAGGAACTTCGCGAAGGGTCTGGAGGGGACGCAGTGGGAACAAGCGTACTCGAGCCACCGCGACGGGCTTGAGGCTGTCCCGAAGATCCCTGAGCTCCGACGAGGTTGACTAGACCACTCGGAGCCGCCGAAACGGTGGGAGGCGCGGAAGCCATGCCTCCAGAGGACATCGGGGCGAGTGTCGATGAGGCACCCGACGTCTTATCGTTCCCGCGCCCACACCACAAGGCTGTAGTCGGCACCGACAAGTCACGACGGTCGCCCAAAAAAGTTGTGATGAAGCGCGGGGCGATATGTATCTGAGAAACAAAAGGTTGGAAGTCCAACACATACCTGTGGCGGCGATGCGTGCAAAAGGTCATCGCTGTCGTACCACGAATATGCGAGGTTCCGGAATTCCGCGGGCGCGGGGTTCCAGCGACAGCGGTGGACGCTGGGGCAGCGGCGACATCAGCGGCCGGTACCGGGAACGGAGTGTGTGCGTCCGAGTTGCATCTCCCAGAGCGGTGGCCTTCGCCCGATGTATGGCCACTGTTTTTTTACCTGAGCCACCTCATTTTTCGCATGCGAACGGTGGAGCATCATGCGCTATGGCCAACGGGAAACACGCCGGCACTACTTCATGTGAGGTTATAGCTGGGGTAAAAAATCCTGTGAATTCGTGAAATTGCCCGCAGTTGAGACGTTTGACAGAAAATTGACNCGGAATTCCGCGGGCGCGGGGTTCCAGCGACAGCGGTGGACGCTGGGGCAGCGGCGACATCAGCGGCCGGTACCGGGAACGGAGTGTGTGCGTCCGAGTTGCATCTCCCAGAGCGGTGGCCTTCGCCCGATGTATGGCCACTGTTTTTTTACCTGAGCCACCTCATTTTTCGCATGCGAACGGTGGAGCATCATGCGCTATGGCCAACGGGAAACACGCCGGCACTACTTCATGTGAGGTTATAGCTGGGGTAAAAAATCCTGTGAATTCGTGAAATTGCCCGCAGTTGAGACGTTTGACAGAAAATTGACGCAAGTCTGCAGCCGCAGCCATACATCAGCGGCAGCGATATAGCGGCCGCGACTGGCAATGGCAGCAGCAGCAGCAGCAGCAGCAGAAGCAGAAGCAGCATCAATATCAGCAACGCCGGAACAGTAAAACAAGCAGCGGTGGTGACAGAGGCAAACACGTCAGCCTCGGGAACCAACCGCAGATGGAAACTTATCCGAGAATTTACTTCCTGCAGCCATGGCCAGGCACGCTCTTTGCGCTACCGGTGATTTGTGCTCTTCACCCTGCATAATAGAGCAGTCACTTTTGTACTGACAGCGAGTAGCAGTCATCACCCGCATCATGTAAGCATGCATGTGCAGGCAGCATCCACGGCCGCCGGGCCAATCTCCTGGCTCTGCTCTGGGCGGAGTTTAGTCGACCTAAAACGTCTCTGGCCGTGGCCAAAAAAATAGTTAATTGTTGCGATGAGACCACCACCATGGGTCATGATGTATGGTCAGCAACGCTGAGCAGGTGTCACGGAAACACTCCGTGACAGATTCCCTTCTCGTCCGCATCCTGTCAATAAAAGAAAACATGAGAGAAGTTGAACAAAGAACGCGCAGCTCCGGGAAGCAAAACATTGTCACATTCGACCACTGTCAATCGGCCACTCGGCAGCATTTGTGGCCGCCAATGTGGGCCACAGCCTGTCGGTTCAGCGGCCATTCGGCAACTTTCCATCATCAGGGCTGAGCTCGGGGTGTTCCCACAGAAACACCAGAGTTGAGCTCGAGGTGTTCCAACAGAAACACCAGGGTTGAGCTCGAGGTGTTCCAACAGAAACACCAGTGTTGAGCTCGAGGTGTTCCAACAGAATCACCCCGCGCCCGAATGTTTTGCTCTCCGTGTCTCCGATCTCCAGGCAAGAAATATATATAGACTATGTTGCCGATTGCGCCAATGCGCAACCACGGATGAGAGCAGATAGATGTGACATAATGTCACGCCAGCTGAGCGGCCGGTTGGCAGCTCCCCGTCGCCATGTGGACGGGTGGGCACGCATGACAGATGCCAAGGCTGTTCCCTCGACCTCGAGGTGTGCACAGAAAACACGCACCCGCGGCCGGTTGATTGTCCGATCGATTCCCCTGTAGCAAAGCAGCGCGGTGAGATAGATTGCACCAAATTGCACAACCTACGTACATACNACAGATGCCAAGGCTGTTCCCTCGACCTCGAGGTGTGCACAGAAAACACGCACCCGCGGCCGGTTGATTGTCCGATCGATTCCCCTGTAGCAAAGCAGCGCGGTGAGATAGATTGCACCAAATTGCACAACCTACGTACATACTGCAGTGTAGCAGACAGCAACATGCCACGGCAGGCCATCAAGTGGCCACTCAGCAGCAGCATGCCATCGCCATTATTCGATGGCATGATCAGATAGGCACGGGGCTTGCCACCGAAGGGATAGGACGGAAAGGGTAGTCTGTAAGTACGAGTGAAGGTCACGTTAATGCAACCAAGGTAGCATGGACGAGGCCAGAACTGTTTCGCAGAGACCGCCGCGTTCCGCCGCGACCCTGCCAGCGATCGAATCGTCGTGGGAGAAAGGCCCCAGCGCTCACCGAAACCCACAAGTCGTGGAAATAGAAGAGCGCCACCAAGCATTGGCGGAGCATCACATGTACATGGATGGACTCGAAAGCCCATCAAGCTGAAGGATAAACAAACATGCACATGGCTCTCCACAAACAGACAAACGAGTCAGAGGGGGCAAATGTACCCCCCCTCTGAAGCCGGTACAAAAACAAACGACTGAAACAAAAGAAAGAGGACAGAAGCACAGAAGAGCAACGCGAACTGCGGTGCATCAGCGAAGGACCGGAGTCCAAATGCTACATAGATGACGCCACGATGTTATGGAGGAACAGGGAAATAAAAGGGAAGGGAGTAGATTCGCTGCTCCTTGCTGGCTCACTCACAGTTGTTGGATTTCATGTTTTATCCTCTTCATACCTAGCCCGCGTTCCGTGCTCACAAGTCGAGAGTGAGGACGGGGGGCAATGATCTTAGTCACAGCAACCAACGAAAATACACAACATCCATGTCATGATGTCATGATCATACAAGGCTCATACCCTAGTTGCTCCATTACAGTAGGAAGGTGTCATTAGGGCACGTGAACTTCTACGTTGCCTCTCACATACACGCTTTACCGCTACGGGGAGTATCAACGATCGTTGCAACCAATATAAGGTAGAAAAAGTCTCCCTGCCCCAAAATATAATATGAGGTGATCCCCGTACAAAAGCGTCACTATGTTTGCCTACTTTCGGGCCTCGAATGTCAATCTCCAAGTCACCGCACGGCAGAACATCGGGAAGTCCCGGAACGTCTCCGCCACGTATCCGCCGCATCTTCTACAACAATAAGACCGAAGACTAAAGGCACAGACCGCGGTGAGACAATGAGACCCGTGAAGTACAGGGTGCCGCCGTTCGAAGGCGTGGCGGCTAGCTTCAAACTCCCCTCCGGCTGGTGAGGGCGGGATGCTGGAGGCGCCACGGGAGCCCAAAGAAATGCACATTTTTAATTCATTTCCCATCAAAATTGCTTTTGAATGGCCTCTCGTTGGGTAAAATATGTTGGAATATTGGTAAAACGACACCAATTCGACCTAGTTATTGCATTAACTGTTGCAATGTTCTGACCAGTGTTTCTAACTCAGCGGTATTTGACACATGTGCATAGCGCATTCAAGTTATCGTTGGCGTGGAGATTCATGTCGAGCAAATGCCTTAGAATACGATTTTTTTCGGCCGAATTTTTCTCGGCTTCGGTGGGCCTTGTTGCTCGTGCTCTTGAGCACGCCTTCGGCGTGTCTGATCGGCCGGGGCATGTTTCCTGGGGAATATTAGTCGGGTGGCTCCCGCGCAGACCAGCCTTCTCTATGATCACCGCGTGGCGTGGCATACGTGAGTTTCATCTCCAACAGATGCGGACAGCAGTAGTTTAACAGGGGAATGCAACCGTAGGATTGTGGGCGTTGACCAAGCCGATCGACGGCTACGCCGAGTCGGTGGCACACCGGCAAGGTGCCAGGGTGCGGATCCCAGCGTTCGCAGCATTCACAGAGATAAGGATTGATGCAACAATCCTCCAGTACTGTAGTAGTTCCGGACCAGTCGACAACTGNCGAGGGGGGGGAGTGGAAAATCTTTTCCACCGTCCCGAACGATGGCTTTTCAAGTTGGTTCTTGCAGAGGTTCTTCCAATGTAGCACTCCAGTAGGACTGGTAGACATACACACGCAACAGCACTGGGCGATGCAAGGTTATTCGTGATGAACGGAGTTGGCCTAAACTAATGAATACTCAATCATCTGTTGACTCTAAGTTAGAGGTAGGGAAAATTAGCAGCTCAGGCTCACGCGCGGTCCCCAGACCTCACAGCGGCGTCTGAGAGCGAAGTGGCGGATTCAGGTCTACTCTCAACTCGAGACGATATCGCCACATCCCGACGGGCGCCGCCGTTCGGCCTCCGTCTTCGCGGAGCCCACGGCTCCCTCCACAAGACCCCGCCGCCGCGGGCTCCAGGCGCTGAGCGCCGGTCGTTCTGCCCGCGCCGTCGAAATTCTGCAAACGACGTGTTCGCCCCTGCATCTGCCCATTCTTACCACTTCCCGCGGGACTGTGAAGTGTGATATTGGCCGACACGATCCTTCTTCTGCTAAGTGCTTTATCTACGATGGATGACACTCCGCTGCCGGCCTTTTTTTCGCCTTTTTTTCTCTGGAGAGAGAGGGAGTCCCACCAACCAGCGTGTGTTGCACACACCACACAGCGAGAGCGGGACGGGAGCAGGGTGTGCCCTATACTACTGCTGCTGCTAGCTTTCGGCGGAGGAAGCGAGAGGAGAGATATTGATTGGGTCTCCGTGGGTCCCTCTTTCCGTGTGTTCGAGAACTGGAAGTTGATGTTTTGTCGCGGAACGTGTATCAAGCAGGTATCTAGCTATATCCTGGAAGCAAATACATACATACATATCCTTATCATGTGCCCACCTTTGGTGCTGCACTCAATCGAGGGTGCATAAGAATTAAGCGATGGTGTGTTTTGTGGACTGGTAGCTGTTATCATTGCTGTAACGCTGAACCTCTACACCGGAATGTATGTGCGTGCGGGCAAGCGGGCAGACATCTCTTCCGAACACGAGAAGACGGCAACTTGCGGCATTCTGACCAAAATACTGGCTCTCAGAACACATCTCGCATACTGCTCGATCTCTGCCCTGGGCAGAACGACGGTGTGTGCGTGCGCGCAAAACATATTACCACTGCTATTGCTGAAGTCTCACAGCTATGGTCTAGCTATG